CAACCCAAAGTATGCTCAGTGACAGCTGGAAGACATCTGTAAATATTTGTGGATTGATTAAAACTCCTGGAGTTTGGGACCCTTTTGTGAAGAGTTATGTAGGGGTAAGTAGACTTTTCATAAAATTGTATTGGTTTTATTTTTGTCTTAAGCCTATGCAGAGATTGCATTTCTAATTATCTTTATTGATCAGGAGGAAATTTAATGAAGAAAATTGTAAATCTAACTAAATAAATAGAAAAAGAGTATGGCATATTTCTTTCTTGGTCTAAATAATTTGGAGATTTTTGGGGAAGGAGGTGGTGTCAGGTACCAGGGATTGAACTCAGGGACACTCAACCACTGAGCCACATCCCCAGTTCTTTTTTGTATTTAGAAACAGGGTCTCACTGAATTGCTAACACCTCGTTTTTGCTGAGGCTGGCTTTGAACTCCATCCTGCCTCAGCCTCCCAAGCTGCTGGGATTGCTGGTGTGCATCACTGCACCTGGCWTTTTGTTTAATAATAAGCTGTTGATGTTACTTTTTTTTTTTTTTTTTCATTACTGGATAAACTGTCTGGGCCTTCACCAAATGACTGATCACCAAATGGAGATCAAGATGAAGCCCGAAAGATAGCTAAATATCTACAAAGTAAATAACAATATAATTGTAAGTGTCTGTTCTGTATTATTCTTGTTGAGCTTAAAAGCTGAAAGATCTTTTATGATTTGGTGGGATATAAAAAGAAATGAACAAAAAATCTGAAACTAGGTCACAATATATGAGATGAAGAATAATGGCTTTTAGAAGGTTTATGAAGATTGTCTATCATCTCACAGTCATTGTAAAAAGGCCATTTGTGGGCAGTGGTTATAGCTCGGTGGTAGTGCTTGCTCAGCATGTGTGAGGTACTGGGTTTGATCCTCAGCACCACATTAAAAAAAAATAGTAAATATATAAAATAATGGTATTGTGTCTACAACTAAAAATATTTTTTTAAAAAAGTCATTTGTCAACGTGAAAAGATGGAAACAAAATGGAAGAAGCTATAATTGTTATGCACTCTTTTGTGACTAAAGTTATAGGTGGGGCACTGAGGTTAGTAGGCATCATATTTTAGTCATTAATATTTTTGCTATGAAGCTGGGTGAGGTGGGATTACACTCCTGTAATTCCAGCAGCTCAGGAGGCTGAGGCAGGAGGATAGCAAGTTCAAAGCAGCCTCAGCAAAAGCGAGTTGTGAAGCAACTCGGTGAGACCCTGTCTCTAAATAAAATACAAAATAGGGATGAGGATGTGGCTCAGTGGCCGAGTTCCCCTGAGTTYGATCCCTGTCCCCCCACCCCCAAATTATATATATTCTTGCTTTGAGGACATGAATTTCTTATAGGAATAKTTCTTATGTTGAAATTACTATATTTTTTTCAGTAACAAAATAGCATAAGGAAAAATGAACTTTATAGTCCTCCATTTTAAGGTGATTTTTTTTCATRGATGATGTAACATATATGCTAGTGGAAGCATGTTCCTTCTGTGGTACTATTTGTCAATTTTGTGCTCAGTAGTAAAGTTGTGTATTATCTTTTGTATCTTATAAAATTCAGCTAAGATATTATAACTTATTTTATATAGATGTTGGAATTCTATGGTGATCAAGATGAAGCCCGAAAGATACTTACTRATTATGCTTATGATGAAAAGTTCCCATCAAATCCGAATGCCCATATATATTTATACAGTTTTCTAAAGAAGGAAAAGGCACCAAGAGCGAAATTGTTAAGTGTGCTTAAGGTATWGATTTTTTATTTCACTATTTGAACAGTTTTGGAGGTTTATGTTCAAACATTTCGGGGTTATTGTTTTCTAACTTTTTATATTATAGCACTCATAGAAAATGACATTGTATGAATGGTATGCTGAGGTATACAGAGAAAGTTGCTCCCTCTGCAGGCTCTAGGAAGACACTCTACTTCTACTGAGGAGAGAGGATCTGTGTTTTAGAAACCCTTTGCCACTCTGGTTGGAGAATTCTGCATTTTTTTTTAAATCAACAATTGAAATTTAACTTATACATAGTAAGTGTACTTATTGCAAGCATATGCTTGGATATGTTTTAACATATATCCATGTCACTTTCATAATAATATGATATAAAGCATTGCTGTCACTCCCAAAAGTTCTTTATTTCACAACCCATTACCCACATATTCCTGCCTTCAGGCAGTCACTGGTTTGCTTTTTGAAATCATGGATTAATTTTATCTTTTCTGGATTTTCATATGAATGTAATCTTAGTTTTATACTTTGTTTGTGGGGGGGTCTGGCTTCTCTTACTCAGCATGTTGTTGAGTTTTTGCCATGATGTTGTATTAGCAATTTATTAATGCTGAGTAATACTTCATTTTTATACATTAAATTTTTGATGAACATTTGGCTTTWTGACTATTACGAATAATGTTGCTAAGAACATTTGTGTATTTCTGTGAGTGCACATATATTTTCGTTTTTCTTGGSTAGCTGTGTAATTGCTGAGTAAGGAAAATAGATATTTAACTTCTTAAGAAACCATCAGCTGTTTTTTGAAGTGATTGTACCATTAACATTCCCACCATCTATGTTGATATTTTAGTTATGTCTGTTTTACATTTCTACCAGCAATGCATGAGGTTTTCGGTTTTCCTACATTGTTGCCAACTCTTAACTTTTTTTCATTTTGATAGTAGCTATTCTAGTAGTATTGTATTCCAATAGTGTGGTGTCTCATAATAATGGCTTGTGATGCTAGGACATCTTTTTATGGCCATTTATCGTCTTTGTAGAGATGTCTATTCCAAATATTCAAGTCCTTTACCCTTTTTTGAATTGGATTGTTTGGTTTTGGAGTATTGAATTGTAGAAATTTGTGTGTCGGGATTAAGCACAGGGCCTCAGATATACTACGGGTGCTGTAAACTGCACTCCCATCTCCTATAGTAGTCCTTTATATATTTAGTGGTAAGTTTTTAATCTGCTGTTTTAGAAGAGAAAGAAGAAAGGTTTTTTTCAGCCTATACAGATGACTAACAGAAATTCTTATCTGTTAGTCTTCTTTTAAAAGTCGATTAGGAAATCAGTAGGGTGAACATTTATTCTTAAGACAAGATAGACTTAGGGAGAAATGCTGTTTTCCTTTTGAGAAGTACAGTATTGGGATCTAAGAGCTCAAATTGTTGGGTTTAATAGCAGATTGGGTATAACAAAAGAGAGGGTTAGTGTAATGTGTAGAAAAAGCAGCGTAAAGGACCGAGCAAAAAGGTGGAAAGTGCAAAAAAGATTGTATTGGGGGCTGGGTTTGTGGTTCAATGGTAGAGCGCTTGCCTAGCATATATGAGGCACTGGGTTCAATCCTCAGCACCACATAAATATAAAATAAAGACATTGTGCCAACCTAAAACTAAAAATACTAAAAAAATAAAAATTAAAAAAAGAAAAAGATTRTATTGGGGACTTGGTGAAAACATCTGATACCCATAATTGGAGTCTTGGAGGAGGCAGAAAATGGGACAAAAACAAATAATAATAAAAATATATATGTATTTGAACAGTTAATGGCTAAGAATTTTCTAAAGTTGATGGAGAAATTTTTTAAAAAATATATTTATTTATTTTGTTATATATGACAGCAGAATGCATTTTTATTCATATTACACATATAAAGCAGGATTTTCATGTTTTTGGTTGTACACAAAGTAGAGTCACACCATTTGTGTCTTCATACATGTACTTAGGGTAATGATGTCCATCTCATTCCTCTGCCTTTCTTACCCCCATACTCCCTCCCTTCCCTTCCCTTCCCCTCCCCTTGCCCTATCTAAAGTTCCTCCATTGCTCCCATGCTCCCCCCCACCCCTCCCTGTTATGGATCAACATCCTCATATCAAAGAAAACATTTGGCATTTGTTTTTTTTTTGGGATTGGCTTACTTCACTTAGCATGATGTTCTCCAACTCCATCCATTTACCTGCAAATGCCATGATTTTATTCTCTCTTATGCTGAGTGATATTCCATTGTGTGTGTGTATATGCCACATTTTCTTTATCCATTCATCTACTGAAGGGCATTTAGCTTGGTTCCACAATGTAGCTAATTGTGAATTGTGCTACTATAAACATTGATGTGACTGTGTCTCTATAGTATACAGTAATTGGAATCTTGGAAAAGGCAGAAAATGGGTATAAACCAAGGAGTGGGATATAGCTGGGTCAAATGGTGGTTCCATTCCCAGTTTCCCTATGAATCTTCCTGATGGAGAAATTTTATAATTCTGATGGTCTTTTATTTGACCTGGGTACTGGTCACCTGGGTGTGTTAAATTTTGTGATGATTTATTCAATGTCATAGGACTTATACCTTTCTAGTACATATATTTCAATAAAAAGTTAAAACTAAGTGACTTGAGCCGTATACAATGTGATTTTGGTAGGAACCAAGTTTTAATAATATTCTCTGATACTAGTATGTTGATCTTTATTATTGAACATGGTTGATTGATCTTTTACAAATTATTAAGTTAACAAACTATTTTTTGTTTTGTTGGGAATTATTTCATTTTAAGTTCAAAGTACCTTGGAAAGTAGACAGTGAATTTGTTTAGTATTATGTGTATTGAAATGAGAAAGAATTTAAAATTTGGGGTTTTGCATATTCATAAAAACAGTCCTTGTTTTCAGAGAGGAAAACCTTTAAATTTGTTCCTGTTGTGTAGAAGAATTGTTAAATTGTGGGCTGGGGTTGTGGCTCAAGTGATAAGAGTGCTTGCCTAGCATGTGTGAGGCACTGGGTTCGAGCCTTAGCACCGCATAAAAAAAGATATTGTATCCACCTAAAACAAAAAATAAATACTTAAAAAAAATTGTTAAATTGTTTACCCAAATAACTTTAGGGTACCGTGTCCCTAAGTCCAGTCTCCAAAATTGTTGCCCCTTTTTGAATTTTTGTTTTATGTATTATATAAAGGCATTTCATAATATTTTATATGTAATGTGTATATAAAACTTTGTAATCTGTGATCTCTTCTGATCAGTATTTTCTGTGTGATTTCTTCCCCCCCCCCAGTCCTTGCTTCTGAAAATAAATTATTTTAAGTGTGGTAAATATTGTAGCTATGTATAAGATGCAAATTAAGAATTCTCCCCATCTGTTTCCTCCGATAATCTTGTCTATCATGTTAGCAGGATTTTTATTTAAAAAAAATTATTTACAGGGAATACTTTCTATACCCAAGTTAAAATTGGATAAAAGCAAAATATCTTTTAAATCCTTGATTAACTTAGAGTATATTAACCAATGAGAGCTTTATTTGAACGTAAGCTGAAATTTGAGAAATGTCTTTGTATAAATTACAAGATTATTTGTTTTCCAGAATTTGTATCAGATTGTACCCTCGCATAGACTGATGTTAGAATTCCATATGTTACTTAGAAAATCAGGTAAACAAGTTTTTGTTTTATGCCTCTTTGTACAGATAAGCTAAAGTCAAGGAATTAACCAACTATGTCCCAGTGGCCAAATTGACCCCATGCCTGTATTTATAAATCAAGTTCCATTAGAACTTATTTATTTATGTATTTTCTATAGCTGCTTTTGCACTGTAATGGCAGAACTAGTGGTTGTAATAGAGACTAGTATAGCTAAAATATTTATTATCTGACCCTTTACAGAAGTTTGACTACTCCTGCTATAGAACAACAGTTCCGAATTGGAAAAAGAAAATTGCCTTCAATTTATGTAATTTCACTTTGTTTTAATGCCTCCTGGGCTTCAGTATAGAAAACAACATGCTTCTTAGATGAAAATCAGTCCACTAATCCAAATAAATCAGTGCAAAGATTGCATCGGTTTTTTACCTAAGGGAAGAGAATGTTCCAAAGATGGGAAAATAGGGCAGGGACTTTAACCCTTGTTCTCTATAGTATATGAATTAGTGCATATAATCAATATAGGGATCAAACTGAACACTTGGACCTCATTAGCATGTTTGATATTATTGAGCGTTCTTCTGATTTATTTCAGGAGTATGAGCATAATGAATTGTTTTAAACCATTAACCAAACTAGAAGGCTTACATAATTCATTTTCATCAGCTGTACATACTTTTTAGCTTTATGCACTTCTTCARTCAATACCTTATTTAAACCTGAACTGTTATGAATGTTGCAGAAAAAGAAGAACTCCGTAAATTGGGGTTGAAAGTATTGTTTGGAGTCCTGGATTTTGCTGGATGCACGAAGAACATAACTGCATGGAAATATTTGGCTAGATATCTGAGACAGCTCTTAATGGAGTGAGTAATAAACACAGCATTTATTTGCTTGTATTTTTGGATTTCTTCAGCTCTTTTCTTCTGAGTGTCAGAAGCTAGAAAATACAAAGTCACAAACTTAACATACAACAATTCTCTCCAGATACTGTGTACTATCAAATACTACATCTTGTAAGTCCATTGTGAGCTGGATATGTAAAACTTTACCTATTTTTTGGCAGAATAAAGGATATCACAAAATTGTTTATATATTAATTTTAGTTGTATAAGGTACCCAGGGTAAGTGGAAACTTGTTTCAGACTTAAACTGATCTTGGGGAAAAAATGTGTATCTTAGTCTATTTGGGTTTCTATAACAATATCATAATTTGGGTGGCTTTTATATAACAAATTTATTTTCACAAGTTCCGGAGGCTAGGAAGTCCAAAGTGAAGGTACCAGCAGATTCGTTGTCTGATAAAGAACAAGATTCTCAGTTCATAGAGGGTTCTTTCTCCCTATGTCCTCACACGGTGGAAGGGAGCAAGGCAATTGCCTGGGGCTTCTCTTAAAAGATCATTAATTTAGGTCATGATTCATCTCCTCATGTCCTAATTATTTCCAGTGGTGATTAGGTTTTTTTATATTTATTATTTTTTTAGTTATAGGTGTACACAATATCTTTAATTTATTTTTATGTGGTGCTAAGGATCGAACCCAGTGCCCCACGCATGCTAGGCAAACGCTCTACCTCTGAGCCACAACCCCAGCCCGAGATTAGGTTTTAACATGAATTTTTGTGGAGGGTGGACAAGCATTCAGATCGTACACTCAATGTAAACTCCTTTCAAATATAAAGGACTGATTAAACCCCTGCTAAACCATAGGGCTTTTTTTTTTTTTTTTTTTTTGCAGGGGAGGGGTTTGCCAGGGATTGAACTCAGGGGGCACTTGACCACTGAACCACATCCCCAGTCCTATTCTGTATATTATTTAGAGACAAAGTCTCTCACCCAGTTGCTTATTGCTATCCTCCTGCCTCAGCCTGTGAACCGCTGGGATTACAGGGGTGTGTCACCACACCCAGCTACCATAGGGCTTTTGAAAGCCAAGAAACATAATGTTTGCTTTTTAAATTTCTAGAAGTTTTGCCACAGGAGACATACAGGTGCTAAAGAAGTATATCCTCAAATTATTGATGAACATTTAGCATTGCTCTTAAGCTGTGAGATCCATGTATTTATGTATTTTATAATAATGTCATTTTAATTAAATTTTGGTAGCATATAATTTAAGGTTTTAAAGTAACTTTAAATAATTAAAGCATTTATTGACATTTGCTATGTACCAGATACTGTAAAAGGAGCTTTATGTGAAACCTGCTATTACTACTGGACTAGTTTAGTCCTAATAACAATGCCATGAAATAAGTATCATTTTTTATCCTCAAGGAAATTGAGAATCAGAGAGGTTAAGCAACCCTCTCAAGATCAATAGAAAATGGAATATCTGAAATTTAAAGGATTTTTACTTCAGAATCACTGCATCACTTTACTGTAATGAACTGGCTATTTAGTTAAGAGGAAATTAGAATGTGGAGATCAAAGAGAATTAAAARGTATTTGATTTTATGTTATTGCTGATGTTAGTCTGGAAATAGCTTCCTATAGCTAAAATCAAATTCTAATGTACAGATTTGTCCCCATCACTGACCTTCCCTTTTGACATTTTTGTTTTTAGGAATCGTCTTGCGTGGGTTCAAGAAGAATGGAGTTCCAGGAAAAGCTGGTGGCCAACCTTTCACTTCAGCTACTTTTGGGCAAAAAGTGATTGGAAGGAAGATGCAGATTTGACCTGTGAGAAAGCTTTTGTAGCTGGAATACTATTAGGAAAAGGTAAATTTTTGTTTTCTTTTAATTTTCTTTTGAATATGACCATTCTTTCATTGTAGAGCTTATCTAGTGTGGTCCATAAGGATTCTGGGTGCTCAAGAAATAATTGTTGAGCTGGGCGTGCATGCCTGTAGTCCCAATGGCTCTGGAGGCTGAGACAGGAGGATTGCAAGTTCAAAGCCCTCGGCAAAAGCGAGACACTAAGCAACTCAGTGAGGCCTTGTCTCTAAATAAAATACAAAAATAGGGATGAGTATGTGGCTCAGTGGTTGAGTATCTGCATTCAATCAACAGTACCCCCCCCAAACAACAACAAAAATACATAAAGAGTGGATCATGAGTTGGGAACTGGTAATGTGCTTATAAGGAATCCCCTAGGGTTAGAAACAGTGCTTTCATGTTGTTGATTGTGATTATTTCTCATGCTCTGACTTGGGCGTTGTTGGGGGCATTAAGATGCACCATGCAAGACTGTTTTACAATCACTGACTGCTTGGCCTTGTTGCATAGGTTTACTGAGACTGTCTATTAATCAAGAATGTTCCTTCATACCTCATTGTTCTTTAATAGATCTGTATTATATACACTTAAATGTTTCTGTAAGGAGAAAAATTCTCCTTAAGAATACCTCCCATTAACTTGTCAAATAGTCCTCTTAAAAGGAATGAGAAATTGATTGTTTCTTTATGGAATATTTTGGCCAATAAAACTGGTACCGGCTTTGTACTACTGAAATATTAAAAGTTAGCCAGTACTGAAATGAAACTGCTACAAAATGTACAGAAATGATGTGTATGATGACAACTAGTAAGATATATTTTGCTAGGGAGTTTAAGGTGTCCTAAAGAGATTCTTCAGTTCACTTTGGATTATGGTTTATATTGTTTTCAACAATGTATCCTTAATATATGTTTCAGATGGTTACTAAAATTAATAAAATACTAGTTTTATAGGAAGAAAGGGCTTTAGAAAGTAATTTTAAAATGGCTGAAAAGGAACATAAATGGATGAAATGCATGGATGAAAAGAAACATAAATGTTATTTAGATTGTTATCTTCTTCTACTTTATGAATTTGGAGTCCAAAGACCCGGACTAACTTTCTCATTCTCTACTCGTCATGTGACTTGGGTCAAGCAATTAACCTTTGGGATTGTCCAAAGGGATTTGGACACTGGGATTGTCCTTTGTGAAATATCAAGTGAATATCACATCAAAGGGCTTTATGAATTCTGAAGTTGTCTAGGAATATCAGGTGTTGTTATGCCTGAAAATGGGCACATCTCTCCTGTCTGGGTGTTAGTGTGGAGAGAGTGAATCTATTCAAAAGCTGAGCTTTTTTTTCCCTCTTGTTCTGGTTATCATCATTACACCACAGTACTCAAATTCTGGTTGTGGTCTGCTTTTGCTTTGTGCTTAGAATGGGGTGTGTTAGCTTTCTCCCCATGCTGTATGAGAAACAAGATGGGCCCATGCTCTGTGGAGGGACCTTTTCTGGTTGAAATTCAGCTATTTGGTTGCTTTGCTAGTTAAGCTCTCTAGTGGATTTACAAAGAGGTTATTTTGTAGTTTGTTTACCTTTTTCTGACTGTGATAAATGCTTCTTTTGCTGACTTAGAAGCTACAGTTGAGAGGGAAGTAGTACTAATTTGATCTTGGAGAATGTTCCTTTAATGTACGAATATACATAATAATGTGTATATCACTATAGGGTTTGGGGAAAGAGAAGGAAAAAAGCTAAAATATATGCTTTAATTATAATGGATCAAAAACATCTTTGTAAAGTAATACATTTCATTGGTGGCAGCTCTTAGAATATGTGTGGGCCATACTGKTATATAGAGAGTTGAAGCAAAAATTTCAAACTATACACATGTACTTTAAAAATTTGAATGATAAGTATTAAAATTTTTTTGCTCATTTTATTTTTTAGGTTGTAGATATTTTCGGTATATTTTAAAACAAGATCATCAAGTGTTAAAGAAGAAAATTAAGCGGATGAAGAAATCAGTGAAAAAATACAGTATTGTAAATCCAGGAGTCTGATATTAAATTTTAGTTATTTCACAGTTGTAGCCACACTATAGTAGCAGTAGATTTTTACCAAATGTATTTATTTGATAGTTTAAGAAAGTATGACTATTGAAAGYATTTATATGACTATAGAAAGTATTTTTGTATTTCCTTTTACTGTAAGTTATAACTAGAAAAATAATGCCGCTGCCTTTGTTCCTTGTAAATATATATGCACATACATATTTTCTTTTTTTGTAATGTAAAATAAAACATTTTATGGAATGATTCTCCAAGTGAAAAAATAAATATGTTTAATTAGAGAATATAGCTCTGAAGCAGTTATTATTTGCAGATAACTTGCCTCTTGCTGTTATGTAATAAAATACAACTAGTGGTGCAAAATGAATTTTTGTTTTTTTAGACTCTAAATTTACTCATGTTAGATTTACCACGAGGGAGAAAAATATTAGTGATGAGTTCTGTTGAATTTTGGAAAGAGAGATGGATTTTAGGAAGTTACTCTTTTTTTTTGTATTAAGACATGGAAATTTAAGGTTGAGAATTTTTCTGCCAGATAGAAAAAGAACCTTCTACCACGAAGGAGTAATTTGGATCAAAGAGGTAGTGGGAATTGGCTGTTTCAGCTGGCACTTGCATAATTTAAAAAGAATGTTAGGTTTTGTTATTGCCTAGCACATCAGTCTTAGATGTTTTAGAACACAGGTGTCCTCTCTCCTTTCTTGGAAACTAGAATGCAGCAGTAAGCATTTGCCTGGTGGAAGACTCCTTACCAGTGAAATAGTAACCCAGCATCACACAGTTAATAAGCCCAGGGGCAATTTTTTGAGAACACAAGCTGGGCGTGATAGCATGTTGTGATAGCTGTTTGAGTGTTCAAGGAAGTGCTTCATAAATGTCTGCCTTTTATGCATTTTGTGTTCAGATAACAAGTAACTGAGTTCCATGAAAGCTCACTAACTTTACAGTAAGCCTAATATTTAGATGACAAGCCACACATTTTTCCCATTGTACTTTTTTTATGAAGGTTACTTAATACTCAAATTAAAAACATTTTCTGTTCTTTTCTACCTGTACTTTATCTAACTCTAAAGCATTTGCAAGAAAATTGGGGGATAAATTATGCTTTGTCAATTTATAGTTCAGTATTATTTTGCACTTAATAAAAACACTTCTATCAATAAATGTCCAACCTTACAAGGTACACATAAAACAAGTAGGTATTCCAAAAGAGCCAGAACAAATCAAGCTAAAGCCACCACATAAATAGGTCTAACTTTACTGCTGGGAGTGGGTGATTGGGTTGTGTAGGAGTTCTGTATATGAAAGACTACCACTAGAGGAATGAAATTCCCAGATAATGTGTTCAAAATCTCAAAACAAAGGTCAAGATAGCCAGAGCATCTATCTACTCCCTGAAACCTTTATCAAAAGCTGTAAAATGGCTACAGAATAGAGGTTCAGAATGTTGAGGTGAGTAGATATAGTTCTTGGTTTTCACACAAAGCTTTCCTAGGATTTTTTTAGCATGTTCATATCTGACTTTTTGGTAAAGGCAGTATGAGTCAACCCTTGTGGAAATTATTTAGGTCCACTGAAGGTAAAGCCAGTTCCGTGAATAATAACAATGGCCAGAATTTATGAAGCACTATGGACTTTACATTTCATTATAACACCACCACATTTCTATGAGTTATTCCTATTTTACCAAGGAGGTGAATAGAGTCCTTGGAGATGCCAGTAACTTGCCAAGGTCACAGCTAGTAGGTGTTAGTGCAAGGTTGCTAACCTAATTAGCAACCTTGAAGATCACACTGATGCTATCTGTATTGCCTCCCAAGTAAGTCACTTTTTACTATTTGCACAACTGGGTAGCCAGAAAAAGAATAGAAAGGGATTCATAACCCAGAGGCCATTGGCTCAAGCAAAAACTGTTCTTACTCTCCCAAGCGATTGGTAGGCTTCCCATTTTGTGTCCCCACATGCTTCTATATCAGATCACCACTCCCCCTGCAACCTTAGCCTGTATCTTAGAATATGACCTTATTTGGAGATAGTCTTTACAGGAATAATGAAGTTAAAATGCAGATATTATGGTGGGCCCTAATCCAGGATGACTGGTATCCTTATCAAAAGGGAAAAATTGGGGCTTGGGTTTTAGCTCAGAGCTGGCCTAGGATGTGTTTGACACTAGGTTCCATCCTCAGCATTACATAAATATAAATAAAATAAAGGTATTGTGTCCAACTACAACTAAAGGGGAAAAAAACGGGAAGGGGATTGACAGACACGTACTGGGAGAATACCATCCCAACATGAAGCCACAGATTGGATATCTCCAAGTCATGAAATGCAACACAAACCATCAGAAGCTTGGAGAAAGGTCTAGAACCGACCCTGCTGACACCTTCATCTCAGACATTGAGTCTCCAGAACTGAGAGATAATTTCTATTGTTTAGGCCACCCAATTTGTGGTTCTTTGTTAGGGCAGCCCTAGAAATTAAAAATAATGATTTTTTTTTTTTTTAAAGTTTGCTTCAGAGTGAGATCTGAGGTGATTCAGTCTGGTTCTAGTTTTTAGTTCCAGACTTAGAGTAAGTTCACCTAACACTCAAGTTAAAAACGTTTTCTGTTTTTTCTACCTGTACTTCACCTTCAGGTAGAAGTTTTTCTTGTTCCCTTCCAGCTGTTGTCATTTCTTTCCTTGGATTCTGAATAGCAATTTGTCCCTTCCTTACTGTTATCTTAGTATAATCTGTTTTTATTTGGGGGTAGGGTCACTTTTAGCCTTCTAAGCATAAAAGTTGCTTATCAATTTTCCATTAAACATTCCTCTTCTAGTATAATAACTTTGCACACAAGAATATGTATTTGTTAAATTGACATCTACTGCAAAATTAGTTATTGCGTAATTTTGTTACAATCATATGCATTATTTAATTCTATCTGAAATACGATGTTTTAGAAGCTCATACTGTCATTACATCCCATGAGCTCCTCCAACTGACCTTCCCTTGCTAGTCTTGCAGGGAGTTTTTGCCCCAATCAATGTGATATCCATATTTTCATGGCAAAAGGAAAACTGAGACAAATGTCAAAGATACTCTCAGTTCTTTATGGAAGGAAAGAATGCATTCATTCATTCTTACATAGTTCTGGGTCAGGTGTTGCCTCCTTTCTCAGAAGGTCACAGTGGCTGTGAACTCACTTGACCTAGTCCAATTTACTCTTCGTGCCTAAGGTTTACAAAGCAATGAATTATCTGACCTTTGGGCAAACAACCCAATGGAAACTGCACAGTCACTAGTGAATCATGGATGCCTTATTATATTTTAAAAAGCAGGGACTTGGGATGTAGCTTAGGTAAAGCACATGCCTAATGTGCATGAGGCCTGAGTGCCATCCTTAGCACCACAAATAAGAAGGAACACTCAACTAGGTCTGATATTGAACAGTACAGAGCTGTATTGACAATCATTCTGAGTACTCCCTCCTGACTTTTTCCTTGGTTATAAAGATTTGGATTTTAAATGCTGCTTGGGCTTTCATAATTGAGAGCACTGTAAGTGTAGACTTGGCTAGGTTGAGGCTCATGCTCCCCTCTTGACATGCTGGCAAAGGCTGCGTGTGAGTAGAAGCCAAGTGGGGTACCCTTTGTAGCAACACATTGGAACCAAGACAAACAACAAGAAGCGCTGGCGAGGATGCGGGGGAAAAGGTATACTCATACACTGCTGGTGGGACTGCAAATTAGGGCAGCCAATTTGGAAAGCAGTATGGAGATTCCTTGGAAAGCTGGGAATGGAACCACCATTTGACCCAGCTATTCCTCTTCTTGCACTATACCCAAAGGACCTAAAAACAGCATCCTACAGGGACACAGCCACATCAATGTTTATAGCAGCACAATTCACAATAGCTGAACTGTGGCGCCAACCTAGATGTCCTTCAGTGGATGAGTGGATAAAAAAAAAAATGTGGCATTTATACACAATGGAATATTACTCAGCACTAAAAATAAGAATAAGATCATGGCATTTGCAGGGAAATGGATCGCATTAGAGCAGATTATGCTAAGTGAAGTTAGCCAATCCCCAAAAAAACAAATGCCAAATGTCTTCTCTGATATAAGAAGGGTGACTCAAAATGAGATTGGGAGGGAGAGCAAGGGAGGAAGATTACCTCTAGATAGGGAATAGGGGTGGGAGGGAAGGGGAGGGAGAAGAGGAATAGTATGGATGGTGGAAGGAGAGGGTCATCATTAGACAAAATACATGTATGAAGATGTGAGTTTGGTGTCAACATACCTTATACAGAGATATGATAAATTGTGGTATAAAGGTGTATTAAGAATTGTAATGCAAAAAAAAGAGCTCATGTATCATGGCGTAATTTGGCGTGAACATACTTTATATACAGAGTTACAAAAAATTGTGCTTTGAATGGATAATTACGATTGTAATGCATTCCACTATTGTCATGTATGTAAGAAATAAAAAATTTTAAAAAACTTACATTTCAAAGGTAAGCTTTTGCAAGAAAGGATATTGCAAAGTGAACTGGAAACATGGAAAATAAAGAGTAAGCTCAGGGACCAGATGTCCCCATGGACCTGTGTCCCTATTTGTGCCTCTGTTTGGTTTTGTGGCTATTTGTCTACTCATTCAAGAAGAATTTCCAAAGGCCTGTTATGTGTAAGGGACACGTACAGAGCAAAACACATTCTTAAGTGGTGTTGGAACTTACACTAAGTGAGGAGGAGTACCCCTAAAGCTGGTATAGACTTGGCAAAAATAACCCAAACATCCTGTGCTTCCTGGTAAAATTATCCCAAACAGTCCTTGTTGGGCCACACTCCTGTGTCTTAATGTGTCTCTCAAAATTAATATACTGAAGCTAATTTGTCAGTGTGTTAATATTCAGAGGCAGGGCCTTGGGCTGGTGTGTTATTCAGCTTTCCGTTACTGTCACAATCACCTGGGGTAATCAGTTTAATAAAGAGGAAAGGTTTATTTTGGTTCACAGTTATAGGGGTTTCAATCCATGGTTGGTTGGGGAGCCTGGGTCCACTATCCCTTTCAAGGACACGTTCTCAGCCACCTAACTTCCTCCACTTCCAAGAGATTCTACTGTCTTCCAGTGGCACCATGAGTCAAGAACCAAGACTTTAACACATGGACCTTAAGAAGACATTCAGGGTCTAAACTATATGATGGGCTTGGTAATGCACACCTATAACTTCCAGCAACTTGGGAGGCTGAAGCAGGAGAATGGAAATTTTGAAGTGAGACTTGGCAACATAGTGAGACTGGCTCAAAAGATGGGGAGGGCAGGGTGCTGGGCATGTAGCTCAGAGCATCCCTAGATTCTATCCCTGGTACCTGGGAGGAAAAACAAACAAACTATAGCAGCCACGGGTGTAGCTCTGTTAGAGTGAGTGCCTAGCATGCTAGGACCTTGGGCTCAATCTCCAACACACACACAAAAAGGTGATGCCTTTAGGATTCAATTAGGGCTTCTGTAAGGGGGCTTGAGAGTTGGTTTGTTTCACTCTGACCCTTCTGCCATGTGATGTCATGAAGATGCAGCCAACGGTGCCATCAACAAGGAATAAGGCCCTCATCAAACACCAAAACTTGTCTCCCATCTTAAACTTCCTAGTCTCCTGAACCATGAGATAAAAATGTCATTTATAAATTACCCTGTGATATTTGGTACAGCAGCTTGATTTGACTAAGACACCCTCCTCTTCCTTTACTGTCTTCTCTTTCCTCACTCCTTGCTGCAGATGCAAGACTCACAACATGTCCTTCCTTCTTCCCATCCACATACACACCTTATCAGACCCCAGGGGCCGTAGGGCACCCTGGCTTCCACGAAGCTTCCCTCCATCTTCCCCCACCCACACTCGAGTCTCCACAGTGCCCTTCAGCACCACAGGAGCCCTGGAAGCCTGCCTTCAGAGTCTGCTGTCTGGGACTCCGTAATGTGGTGTTCTCACAGCGACTCTGGGCCACTCGGCCTGTGAAGAAATAGTAAACAAGTGTGGATTTTCCGGCCTGCTCTGCAGAATTCTGTGCAGTTTTAAGGAATCAGGCCCCTCTGTTGTTGACACTGTTGCACCTTTTGGCTAAGAAACCGTGTGCCCCAACGACTCAGCGCTGGCATTGAGAGTAGCACAAGCTTCATGTTTAGATGGGACRGAGGAGGTAGGGACAACTTCCTTTTCCTTCCACAAGGGACGCTTGGCCACCAGCCCACAGGAGGGACACTGCTCAGAAACCACTTCTTGGAACTAGGGGCGGGGATGGGGGTAGAAGGAAGAAAGAGAAAGGGGGTTGAGGAGCAGGGAGGAAGAGAGGGAGGGAATGTGGGCAGAGCAGGGAAGCCAACCTGAGCAAACAGCAGCCGGAGTGTTCCCAAGGCCAAAATGCTGAGAAAGCCCAAGCCTGATCTGCATGATGGTCGGTGTTCCTGGGTCCCCAGGCTCTCTCCCGGCACTGTCTGTCTCTGTCTCACATTCGTGGGTCAGATGGGCTTGCTGCAGGGACACCCCCAGTGCCTGGATTATGGGCCTCCCTTTCGGCCTCCCCTGCACCTTGAGTTTTGCTCCGACTATGAGTCCTTTGGCTGCTGTGACCAGCGCAAGGACAACCGCATCGCTGCTCGGTACTGGGACATCATGAACTATCTCGATCTGAAGGGCCACGAGCTGTGCGGAGGTTACATTAAAGACATCCTTTGCCAGGTAGGCCTGAGTGTAAACCCAAGGTGAAACGATGGAGCCAGCTTGGCAATGTGCCTTCCTACCCCAGTGGTAAAGGGTGCTGGGCTGCTGGCGAGTCCTAGGGGGAGGGTGCTTTGGACACTCAGCCTTTTAGAGCTTACCTGCCTGTCAGGTGCCTTGCCGGACAGCAATGTGCTCTGTACACTGAGGCACAGGTGTGCTGAGTTTGGCTTGCACAGGTTCCTCAGAGCTCTCCCTCTGGGGCTCTTCCCCAGGAGCCAAAAGAATAAGAGAGGTATTTTTCATGGAGCTCTCAGAACCGCTGCTGTCCATGTCCTCTCTGCAATGATCAAAGAACTAGGCACAGCACACCTGTGACACTTCCAGAGTATGTGAGAGAGGGAAGCATTGGCATCTGCTGGGGTCCAGCCCTTGCTTAGCTGGGTGCTTTGTGCCAAGGGGGTCTCTGGTGTGATGGTAACAGTGGCAGAGATTATGGGGCTCTCTGAGGGGTACTGGCTGCCCAACAYTCCAGAACTGGACTGAGAGAGCTTCAAGCTGCTGACAAGCGATGACTCAGAGTTTCTGCTTCTCCAGGCTCATCAGTAGCCAAAATCCACATTTCTGGGAGGCATCGCCTGAGTTGAGCTCAGCCTGGAAACCTGATGAGTACAGGCTGCACACAGACTTTATGGGAAGAGGGTGTTTAGGGGTACAGGGAGAGAGCTGATGAAAGAAGTGGCCATGAGGAAGGTGTACTCTAACGATGTGACAAAAGTCCAGACAGGCCTTTTATCTGAGACCCTGCTGGGCATTCATGTCCCTTGCTGCTGCCACTATTCAGAAATGCACTGGCCACCCCAACTCCCTGCATGCTGCAAAGAGAGATTATCTGAGCCCCCCAGAGTCCAGGCAGGAATTACCACTGAGCCTGGCGCAGAAGTCAGCCACGTGGGTRGCACTGCCCCAGGGCTGTACTCTTTCACCTAGAGCACCACCTCTTGCTGTTTCCGCTAGAATTAACTCTGGGATAGCCATGTGGTGTCAGAAGTTGGGCTTTTTTTTTTTGGACCAAGAATTGAACCCAGGGGCTCTTAACCACTGAGCCACATCCCCAGCCCTTTTTATTTTTTATTTTGAGACAGAGTCTTGCTACATTCAGGGCCTCAATAAATTGCTGAAGCTGTCTTTGAACTTGCAATCCTCTTGCCCCAACCTCCCCAGGTGCTGGGATTGCAGGCSTGTGCACTGGCACCCTGCAGAAGCCTGGCTTTTATGAGCAGTACTCAGGTTGTTTATTTCTGAGAGCTCCCCTGGTGAAAATGTCTCTTCCTTCCAACTTCTCTCTTTGGTGATGTTTTAAAAAGTCACATGTAACATCTCTTTTGTTTTAGAGACTTGAGGAATAAGAGTAATTTCAGCCAAACAACCCGACTCATGTCTGTTAAAATTTACGAGGCACTCTTTCTTCCCCCAGACTTGTAGTGTGTTCTTGGCAATGATTCTGTAGGTATTATGAGTTCCATTTTACCAGAATCGTTTGTCCAAGGTTAAACAGCCCTGGGGCACAAATCTAGATGTTCAGACGCCAGATCTTGTGACCCTGTGATCACATCACATCAAAGTATAGTAGCAACAGCACTGGTCAATTAATCGCTTTTCTGAACTCCAGGAAGCATGAGCTTCAGTAGAGAATTTGTGCACTCGCTGCTGGTGCCCGGTGCCGAAAAGCAGGGCGTGGCATGCAGGAGAGACTCAATAGTTAAGGTGTGCAGTAGAGATGCTGCCTGGGCCTGGGTTTTCTTACCCATGAACTGGAAAAAATGTTTGTTTAGTTATGAGCAACTCTACAAACTCTATAAACAGCTGCATAAAGGTGTGCCATGCTGGTGGTGACATTTCCATCGTCCTTTCTGCTCTTTAGTATTTTGTTCTTATTTTTGTGTCCCTTCTCCCTTTATTCCACCTCCCAGAGTTGTATGGAGTCAGGGAGGTGACACTCAGGAGCAGGTCATTTTGCTTGTTGTTACTCTGATAATTATTCTCAGCTGACCCAGACTTTCCCAGGAGAGACACTGTGTGTGAAACTCTGGGCTCTTTCTTTTTCTTTGCCCAATAAACAAGAACTTGTTCTGCAATCTATAGTCCAGAGGAAAAAAGAGAAGACAGGGATACAGATATGAATAGAAAGTGCTGCTGCTTCCTTTGTGAAGTGTTGAGAGAGTACAGGCAACTGAGTCAGCCCACAGGTGGGCTTGGAGAGAGATTAGTTATCAGTGGGGTTTGGCTAATGGACCCTCCAAACTGCTCTCCTCTGCCTCTGCCTCTCCAAACTCCACAGTTAATCTGTCTTTCTTACCTCCCAAGGCTCAGTTGCCTCTCTCTCTTTCATCACCATTGGGAGCTGATTGTCCACAAAATTGTATTCTCACCTAAAAATTTCTGTAAGTCTAGGGAGGTCTAAGTAGCAGATACTTTTTTGGACACACTGTTCATATGTTTTTGTGTAAGGAGTAGTCATATTGCCCAAATGTCATAATTCAAATACGTATAGTTCCCAGTGCAGTGCTTTGAACACATCAGACACAAATAGTTTTACAAATACCTGAAGAAATTACTAGACACCCAGTCTCTGGGAGTGGTACATTTAATGTCCATTTTGATCATTTACTTTTTAACTGTAAAATATTTCAAACATGGAGAACCAGAGAATGAAATAACATCTCATGTCTCCAACACCCAGATTTAATAAATGAAACTTTTGCCAAATTGCTTAAGAACTGATAAAGAAAGAAAATCTTGYAGATATAGCATTTACAAGAGAAAAAACTGAGAACTTTGATACCATTTTCTCTTTAAAATGTTCATCTAGTAACATCAAGTGTCAAGAACTAAATGCTAAAAATAGTACAGAGTGTCACCCCCACCATTTTTTGGTACCAGGAATGGAACCCAGGGGTGCTTAATCATTGAGCCACATCCCCAACTCATTTTTATATTTTATTTAGAGACGGAGGTCTCACTGAATTGCTGAGGGACTTGCTAAGTTGCTGAGGCTGGTTTTGAACTTGTGATTCTCCTGCYTCAGCCTCCTGAGCCACTTGGGATTACAGACAGGCACYGCCACACCTGGCTCCCCTTTTCTTTCTGCCTTCCAGGAGCATTAACGGATAAAAAATGTTCGTCCAAGAAGTGATTTATTAGTAGTTGGTAATAAAAACTCCAGAATCTGGAATCCAGCCAGGGTAGTGGTGCACACCTGTGATTCCAGTAAGAAGCTGAGGCAGGAGGATCTCAAGATTGAGGCAGCCTAGGCAACTTCGTGAGACTTCGTCTCAAAAAAAAAAAAAAAGACTTATAGCTCAGTGTAGTGCACCCCTGGATTCAATCCCCAGTACCACAAAACAAAACAAAATAAATCCCCTCCAGTTTTTTTTTTTTTTTTTTTTTGGTACCAGGCATTAAACCCAGGGGCACTTAACCACTGAGCCACACACATCTCCAGCCCTTTTTTTTTTTTTTTTTTTTGTTTTTTTTTTTTTTTTTTTTTTTTTTGGTACCAGGCATTAAACCCAGGGGCACTTAACCACTGAGCCACACACATCTCCAGCCCTTTTATTTTTTTATTTTGAGACAGGGTCGCATTAAGTTGCTTAGGGCCTCACTAAATTGCTGAGGCTGGTTTTGAACCGGCAATCATCCTGCCTCAGCCTCCTGAGTCACTGGGATGACAGGCGCGCACCACTACTGCTGACAGAATGCTATTTTTTTCTTCCCCTTGGCCATTTCTCTGCTTGCTCCAATTGAGACTGACCTTCAGCTGTCTTCCAGGAGTGCTCGCCCTATGCAGCCCACCTCTACGATGCCGAGAACCCTCACACACCCCTCCGGAACCTTCCTGGGCTCTGCTTTGACTACTGCTCGGCATTCCATTCTGACTGTCACTCTGCCATCTCCCTCCTCACCAATGACCGAGGTCTCCGAGAGTCCCACAAAAAGGACGGTGCCCACTTCTGCCACCTCCTCAATCTTCCGGACAAGGATTACTGCTTCCCCAACGTCCTGAGGAATGACCATCTCAATCGCAACCTGGGGGTGGTGGCCGAGGACCATGAGGGCTGCCTGCAGCTCTGCCTGGCCGAGGTGGCCAATGGGCTCAGGAACCCGGTCTCCATGGTGCACGCCGGGGACGGCACCCATCGCTTCTTTGTGGCCGAGCAGGTGGGAGTGGTGTGGGTGTACCTGCCTGACGGGAGTCGCCTGGAGCAACCTTTCCTGGATCTCAAGAGCATCGTACTGACCACTCCGTGGATCGGGGATGAGAGGGGCTTCTTGGGATTGGCTTTTCACCCCAAATTCCGTCGCAACAGAAAGTTCTATATTTATTATTCATGCCTGGGCAAGAAGAAGGTAGAAAAGATCCGGATTAGTGAGATGAAGGTTTCTCAGGCCGATCCCAATAAAGCTGACCCCAAATCGGAGAGGTGAGATGGACTCATGCAAATGCACCTCTACTGTGTTCTGAAATAATGCGGATCAGCCCTTTGAAATGACAAGAGATGGAACCTTGCTGGTTTTAGAACTCTAGCTTAAAATGTTAAAGGAATCGTCAATTAATGAGGACAGCCCAAGTTAGACTCTTTAGGCAAGGGTTTTTATGGGATGTGACAATCCGAATTAGAGCCTGACTTAGTTGTCTTTACAGAGGATAAGCAAGAACTAGCAGCCAGAGGGATTGAGAAGTGATTATAAAAAATACAGTGAGCCAGGCACAGCAGCACAGCCTGTAATCCCAGCAGCTCTGGAGGCTGGGACAGGAGGATCGAGAGTTCAAAGCCAGCCTCAGCAATGGCGAGGTGCTAAGCAACTCAGTGAGACCCTGTCTCTAAATAAAATGCAAAATAGGGCTGGTGGTCTGTGGTCGAGTGTCCCTGAGTTCAATCACGGCTTCAATAATTACAGCTTCTAATTATTGTGTGGCCCTTAGATTCCAGGCCCTTTAGCTTGAATGTGGGATCTTGCAAGAAGCTGTGGCATAAGGCCATAACACTAGTGATACGAGATCAAATGATCCCAGTTCTAGCTGACCTCAGTTCATGTTCTTTTCACTCTACCACCCTGCCCATTTCTCCTCTTCTTTCTACCTTGTCTCCTTTTCCATCACAGACAGATTGAAAGATTGGAGAAAGCATGAGGAATGGATAGATCCATCCCTGCTAACTTGCTCAAACAAAGAAATTGAAAGTTCATATAGAGCCAGAGACTAACAGGCAAGAGCTAGAAAGGGAGGGTTGTTCTCCTGACTGTGTCTCAGCTTGTGAAGTCATGGTCTGGAATAAAAATGACCCATGAAGGAGTTATAGAAGGAAAGAGGGATCATCTCAGAACCCCAAGCTACTTGCTTTGTGATTCCTGAAGCAGGTCTTGGCTGACTTTGCAGATCTTGGTGACTTGGACCAGTGTCTCTATTTGGGGTGTCTCTAGAGGATGTAGCTTTAGCTGTGTCAAAGTGAAGTTTCTTTTTCTTTTCCAGGGTCATCTTGGAGATAGAAGAACCAGCCTCAAATCATAATGGTGGACAACTTCTTTTTGGTCTGGATGGCTACATGTACATATTCACTGGGGATGGAGGGCAGGCTGGGGATCCCTTTGGCAAATTTGGAAATGCTCAGAACAAGTAAGATGGATGGAAGCAAGGTCCCTGCCTCCTTAGAGTCAACCTTTGGTATAGTGTTTTGGTTGAGGTGGAGTCAAACCCAGAATGCTTTCTGCAATATATAGTCCCATTTAGGCAAATGAGAGGAACTTTTGGTTTTCTGTCCTATAAATAATATACATCATTTACTTTGGTAGTTAATATTATGGATGCCTAGTGTAAGTTTCAGATACTATGTAAAGAAAGATCAGTATTTTAAATATATGTTAATAGGACACTATCCATGAAATCAATCTTTCAATTAACTTTAATCCAATTATGTTACCAAGCTCAGTGTTTCAGGAGTGGTAGGCCCTGGGGACACTAAAAAGTTAATGTGCGTGGTGAGCTAATGTGGCCATGAGTGGTGGCGCATTCCTGCAATCCTAGCGGCTTAGGAGGCTGAGGCAGGAGGACTGAGAGTTCAAAGCCAGCCTCAGCAACTTAGTGAGACCTTAAGCAACTTAGTGCGACCCTGTCTCCAAATAAAATATGAAAAAGGGGCTGGAGATGTGGCTCAGAGGTTTAAGTGCCCCCGGGTTCAATCCCTGGTAACCCCCCCCCAAAAAAAAGCGAGTTAAAGAGAGCTAGTGCATATAGGGTGCTAACTGTGTGTCAGAGATGGTTCCAAATACGTAATGTGTATTTGAGAATTATAATTCTAATAACCTTTGAGGTTAAGAAATTTTATCTATTTTGTTAATTGGTCTATCTTCAGCACACCCGTCACTCTGTAAATATTGTGGAATGAGTGAATCTTATGATATGTAGGTATTATGAGAGCCATTTTACAGACAAGAAAACAGAGGCACAGAAGTCGCATAGCAAGTAAGTGGCAGAACCAGAATTATAGCTTGAGTGATCTAGTGCCAGAGTTCACTGATGCTCTGCTGCCTATAAAGGTCAGTGGTTCTTTTCTCCTTTGCACGCAGTCAACACTTGGCTCCCATTATTCCTAGTATTATAAATATTAAAATTAATAATAATGAAAGCTAACATTTATTGAATGCCATGATTCAGGAATTGCATTAAGTACTATATGCACAATAACTCATTGAACCCAGTCACACTGTTAAGTAATGTCACTCTCCTCTGCTTTACAATTGAGGGCACCAAAGCCCAGAGAKCAAAGTCATTGAAAAAGTCTCCTAAAAGTCTCTGTTCTAAGGCTGGGCGCAGTGGCTCACATCTGTAATCCCAGCAGTTTCGGAGACTACGGCAAGAGGATTATGAGTTCAAAGCCAGCCTCAGCAATGGTGAGGCACTAAGCAACTCAGTGAGACCGTGTCTCTAAATAAAATACAAAATAGGGCTGGGGATGTGGCTCAGTGGTTGAATACCCCTGAGTTCAGTCCCTGGTATCCCCCACTCCATAAAAGTCTCTGTTTTATTTGCTGACCCCTTTGCTATCTGAAAAATAATAAAATCAAATTGTAGAGAAACAGTTTTCATCATTAAAATTAACAATTAAAGCTGCAACTTTTTCAGGGTTATGTGGACCCTTTTACTTAGTAGTTCTCCTTGAGTCAAAAATAGGGAAGTCTTAACATCCTGTATATATTTAAAAAAAAAAAAAGGTACTTATCCTTATGTGATTCCCAGCCATTTCCTGTCATCATTGTTAATCAGCCCTCTTGGTGGTTACCTCTGGTCTTGTGTCCATGATTACCTGAGCCTGATTCTTGGCCTTCTGTCTTTCAGAAGTTCCCTGCTKGGGAAAGTGTTAAGGATTGATGTGAACAGGGCAGGCTCTGACGGCAAGCGCTACCGAGTGCCCTTGGACAATCCTTTTGTTTCTGAGCCAGGGGCCCACCCCGCCATCTATGCCTATGGGATCAGAAACATGTGGCGCTGTGCTGTGGACCGAGGGGACCCCATTACACGCCAGGGCCGAGGCCGGATGTTCTGTGGGGACGTGGGCCAGAACAGGTTTGAAGAAGTTGACCTCATTGTTAAAGGCGGGAACTATGGATGGAGGGCAAAGGAAGGGTTTGAGTGTTACGACAAAAATCTTTGTCACAATGCCTCTTTGGGTAAGTAAAAAGCTGTCTGGGTGCTTTCTTGAATGAGTTGAGTGGGTAGCCTCCTGGAGGAATAAAATCCTAGTGTCCTGCAAGTCSTTTAAGTCCTTGCTTGTGTCCTTTGGGACACTGCTTCCCTGAGTTGTTCTCCCGCCACTAGCCCTAGACACCTTAGTGGTGCTTGTTAAGAAGTGGATTTTTGCTGTTAACTCATCAGTCATTTTCCTATTATTCTGTTTCCCTGTCCCAGCCCTAGAAAAAAAAGTAACTTTGAAAGACCAGTTTTTGTCTTTCTGATTTCTTCAAGCTAACCAAACTCTTGCTCAGACCATAGGAACACTTGTTCTGTTATGAAATGGAATGTTGCCCAATTCTAGGATAAAACAATAAAGCCAATTAAGACTATTTTTTTAAAAGTAGATTTTGATGCTCTAGGTCAGACCTGATAGGTTTGCATCTTGGGTGGGTGGGAGATTGGGATGGACTAGGAATCTGTATTTTAAATAAGTTACYCATGTGAGGTTTGGGCAAACTATTTTCAGATCCACTGGAAGAGCAGAATTGGTGGCTGCATGTTTCTCTTTATTTCCCAAATGGTAACAGCCCAATGAAATGATATTCCACCTATACTCCAGGAAGAATATAATCCCTGAACATCAATAATCAAGAAGTGTTTTAAAAACCACATCTGGATCAAAATTCCAGTGTGCTGAATCTATCACTGTTTCTTGGTCTTTTTGATTCTTTAAGTTACAAAGCAGTCTTACAGATCCTCACAATACTTTCCATATTCTTAAACTTGACTACTACGTCAACTTTGGGGAGAAATTTATGTGTCTGAATCTTCCACCACACAGCTTTATAGATGGGGGGAGGGTAGGGCTTAGATAACAGTCAATTGGGAAGCTCACAAATATTGTGGCTGGCCTGTTGAAAAAAAAAATGAACACAATCCATTTGTCTACCTGTCCTACTGATGACATGCACTGAGTCAGGTAACTGCATTATAAAGCCTCTTTTGGGGGCTGGGGTTGTGGCTCAGTGGTAGAGCGCTTGCCTAGCATGTGTGAGGCACTGGGTTTGATTCTCAGCACCATCTATAAATAAATGAATAAAATAAAGGTCCATCAACATCTAAGAAAAAAAAGCCCCCTCTTTCCTTTTAATTTTTGGTGATGAAACTTACTGTCTTTCCTTGTTCCTGGATAGATGACATTCTGCCAATCTATGCTTATGGCCATGCAGTGGGGAAGTCCGTCACTGGGGGCTATGTCTATCGTGGATGTGAATCTCCAAATCTCAATGGCCTCTATATCTTTGGAGACTTCATGAGTGGGTAAGAAGTGTTGATGTCGCTTTTGCCTTTTTTATTTGAACAATTTTATTGGGTGTAACTTACAAGACTGTTACCATATCCAGCTACTTTAATGTTTTTGTCTGCTAATATTAATGCCTGTGTCAGTTGTGTGTCAATTTTAATTGATCTTTCTTTATTATGGGTTATATTTTCCTCCTCCTTTACTTGCATGGTAATTTTTTATTTAATACCAGAAAGTATTAATATAAGTTTGTAGGTGCTGCACATTTTTGTGTTCCTATAAATATTTTTGAGTTTTGTTCTGGGTCACAGTCAAGTTCCTCAACAATAGTTTGATCCTTTCTTGCTGTTAATATTTGTTAAGCAGGACCAAAGTGGTGCCTTTTCTGGAGCTCTCAATTTCTTACTATTAAGGCAAGGCTTCCCGAGGYTTTGCCAATGTCCTGTGAATGATGCATGTACCATTCCTGACCCCTGCCAGGCACTTTCCCTTCCAATTCTCTCCCTTGCTTTAGGTAGTCCCCTCTCGTGCCTGCTGTTGAGCCCACTGATGAGTATTTGAAGATCTCTGAAGATCTTTCTCCGTGTAATTTTCTTCTCTCTATTTTCTGTCCTGAAAACTTTTACTGCTTTGATCTTCCTGGACTCTTAGATCTATCTTTTCAACTCAGGGAGTCTACTGGGCTCTGCCTGTGTATTCCCTCTCTGTGCTGGGAACTTTCTCAAGGAAGAATCTAGAACAATCTCAAAGCTCATCTCATCTGTTTTCTGTCTCTCAGGGAAGACACACCTATGCTGCCTGATAGTCAATGTCTTTTTTTTTTTTTTTAGCATTTTTTTTTTAGTTGTAGATGGACATAATACCTTTATTTTATTTATTTATTTTTATGTGGTGCCGAGGATCAAATCCAGAGCATCACATGTGCTAGGCAAATGCTCTACCAATGAGCCCCAGCCCCAGCCCTTGTCAATGTCTTTTAAACCACTCTTATTCTATTTTGTACAGGTTTTGACTCATTAAGGTGGGATGGTAAATCTAGTCCCCATTACTTCATCTTATTTAGGAAAGATGTAGTTATTTTCATCCTTCAATTCTTAGTTGTAGAGATGGTATAGTTACTAATTGGTTAGGTCCTTCATCATTACTTATTAGATCATTAGGACTTCATTTATCTTTATCCATCCCAAAACACATCACACCTTCACATAGCACTTTTTGATATGCAATGATTTTTTTTTTTTTGGTACTGAGTATTGAACCAAGTGAGCTTAAGCACTAAACCACATCCCTAGCCTATTTTTATATGTTATTTAGAGACAAGAGTCTCACTGAGTTGCTTAAGGCTAGCTTTGAACTCTCGATTCTCCTGCTTCTGC